CAGTCCACGTTGGGTTCAAGTAGAACATAAGGTTGACGGAAACTCGGGGACTACGCCCCGTACCATACTTATAAATGGTAAGCAGTGTGAGGAGATTTGGGGGTCCTTCAAAAAGATCCTGCCAGATAAATGAAGCCAGTCTACAATGAGAAACGAGTATAGATGAGTAGATTTGGGACAAAGACCGGTCTGTTTTTACACAACCAAGAAGGCAAACGGTCGTTTTTGCAAATGGTCACAGGTACCGCAGGCTTTCGACATATTCGGTGCTACAGTCCAATCTCGTCCAAAACAGATTTAAATGATCAGATGTTGCACAACACAAGCATGCGGAGTGTATCCATGATAACAGTACAAGTAGATGGCTTGAATTACGCCCTGTGGTGACTGGAAGTAAACATGTGGTTCGCTTCACTCAGTTTGTGCCTTAGTTTTCTTTTTTGATTTCAAATGATGCTAGATGTCGGCCCAGTCAAAGCGAACAGGAAAACGGGGTTCGTGCGGCACGCTCTGCTTCAAAAGTGCGGTTAATACCTGCATGCTGTTCACAGCTGATCAGAATTGATCATATCCGCATCCGTGTCAGAGGAACATTGGCTTTAGACAGCTATGGACGAGGGAATTGATGCTGCCATTTGATCACGTGACTATTAACCTATTGGCGTGAACCTGGTAAATGCCGCTCACGAAGCGAACTGCTGGGCCGGGCGAACGGATCAATAACCACCTGATCAACAATCGACAAATGCAGTTGAGCCAACAATACTCCAACACAGTGTTGTTGCGCACGCAAAAGTCACGGTAACTCCACCAGTATCACGTGGATGGGATTTTCTTAACATTGAAGTAACTGTAAAAATTGCACATGCTCTACAAAAGATGAAGTGATCTGGACAAATTTGTACATAAATGTTCTCTACATCATACACGGTGCATAAATCTCAAGGACAGAAAGAACCGCCACTTCGTTTTGATTGCTCGGTGAGGCTGAAGTAACCGGTTGAATGGGTGTCATATAATTTAGTATTCCTGACTCCACCGAATAGATTGTTTTTGCCGAAGAAAGGCATTTTGACGTATGTGCCGCCAGCACAGACAGTCCGAAACTTCCGGAATTTGAATTCGACATATGCTCATATACAGTCATTTGCAAACTAATTTGGTTTTTCGAGAGACTCACCTGGAACCCAGCTGAATATCTCGTTTGTGATGTTTTCAGGCAACTGACCGTGCTGGGTTCCAGGCCCAGGCCGCATCATGTTTCATTCGTTACGATATTCGAGATATCGCGATACATGTATATCTTTGTAACATACTACTCATAAGGTTGTCGACGGAATTTCAGCAACCTTATGAGTAGTAGCACACTACAAAGATGCAGACACGTGCTTGTCTGAGCTGGACGTACACCTCGTAAGATACGACAGATACGGCACCGCACTGCAGTACAGTCCCAAACCGTCAGTTTGCACCTGGCACTTACATATTGCTGGAAACTGCTCTGTTTCAACGATTGCAGACTTGATTATTAGGTGACGCAGGTGACTGTGATTCAAGCGAATTTGCGTGATGATTCAAAAAACCGTGTTGTCCAAACAGTGGTCCGGGAAATCCCGACACTGTTGACGCACACCGAGTTACCTGGATAGTCTATAAAATGAATCATTGATTTGGTAGTCAACTCAGTTTTTCACAGCCAACGTGTCCCAATATGCCTCAGATGTTCAAATCGCACCCAGATTAAAGTGTATCCTTCGGGATCCCAAGAAATCTTTGACAACCTTGGGTTCGTAAGTCGTATCACTTAGTGGGCAGCCACTTACCACAGGCTTCAACGACGCAACGCCGGTCAACCTGCTCTTGCGGGGTTGCTCTAAATTTTCGCAGAACACTCCATTATTGATATCTATTGATATGTCGTATTTCTCAGGGTTTTAGTCGTCCCGAATCGTACAGCTGTAGCACTCTTTCGGTGCTTAACTGCCATGCCACCCGAAGGAAGAACGAGGGCTGGGGAACTGCCAGGTTGCCCAAGCCTAGGCAGAGGAAGTCGAGAGGCAGAGGTTGGGTTCGAACCGCGAACCTTGCGGTCAGTAAATTCGCGCTCTAACCACTTGGACCATCTCGTCCCGAATGCACTGACCCTCACCAAATTTGCAAGCACATGTACGACAGCTCAGTGATTGAGACTGGAAGGTTCTCGGTACAAACCCATCCCCTGGCATCTAGACTACTCCTGTCCAGGCATGGGCAAACGAGTAATATCGGAGTCCCCAAGTGTCCTGATGGTGACATGGCAGCTAGGCACTGAAAAGGCATTCCAGCTTCAAGCTATTTACTGAATAAAAACAGAAACTTTGCAGTGTTATTCCAGTCAGAATTTGTTCCTGATTTCTCTGCAGCCTCAGCCAGCCTGATTAACTCAAATAAAATGGCCAGTTGGCCCTTCGGTTATTCCTTAGCGTGGTAATAACTTCAAGTAATGATACGCTCTTTTAAATAAACTGGTTCTGAAGACGTCTAAGAATTAAATCCTAAAAATGGAATTCGATGGTCTTAGATGAAAGTGATACGACAATACCTCCGAACTAGGATCACCCATAGGTTATGGCCCAAATGTTTCGGACTGGATNACTCAGTTTTTCACAGCCAACGTGTCCCAGTATGCCTCATGTGTTCAAATCGTACCCAGATAAACGTGTAGCCTTCGGGATCCCAATAAATCGTTGACACCCGTGGGCTCGTAAGTCGTATTACTTAGTGGGCGGTCACTTACCACAGGCTTCAACGACGCAACGCCGGTCAATCTGTTCTTGCGGGGTTACCTTAAGTTTTCACAAGACACCCGATTAACATGTCTATTACTATGTCGTATTTCTCAGGGTTTTGGTCGTTCGAATCGTACAGCTGTAGCACCCATTTGGTGCCTAACTGCCATGCCACCCGAAGGAAGCACGAGGGCTGGGGTACTGCCAGGTTGCCCAAGCCTAGGCAGGGGAAGTTGAGAGGCAGAGGTCGGGTTCGAACCGCGAATCTTTCGATCAGCAAATTCGCGCTCTAACCACTTGGACCATCTCGTTCCGAATGCACTGATCCTCACCAAATTTGCAAGCACATGTACGACAGCTCAATGATTGAGGCACGAACTGACCGACTGGAAGGTTCTCGGTACAAACCCACCCCCTGGCATCTAGACTACTCCTGTCCAGGCTTGGGTAAACGAGTAATATCCCAGTCCCCGCGTGTCCTTTTGGTGATATGGCAGCTAGGCACTGAGAAGGCATTCCAGATTCCGGCTATTTGCTGAATGAAAACTGGAACTTTGCAGTGTGATTCCAGTCAAATTTTGTTACCAATTTCTCTGCGGCCTCAGCCAGTCTGACTAACTCGAATAAAATGGCCGGTTAGCCCTTCTGGTAGTCCTTAGCGTGGTAATACCTTCAAGTAATGGTACGTTCTTTTAAATAAACTGGTTCTGAAGACTTCTAAGAATTAAGGCCTAAAAATGGAATTCAGTGGTCATAGACGAACGTGGTACCACAATACCTCCGAAGTAGCATCACCCATAGGTTATGGCTCAAATGTTCNATAAATGTTCTCTACATCATACACGGTGCACAAATCCGAACCGTCACTCCGTTTTCATTGCTCGGTGAGGCTGGAGTAACCGGTTGAATGAATGTCAATCAAATTAGTATTCCTGACTCCACCGAATAGATTGTTTTTCCCGAAGAAAAGCACTTTGTCGTATGTGCCGCCAGCACAGACAGTCCGAAACTTCCGGAATTTGAATTCGACATATGCTCATATACAGTCATTTGCAAACTAATTTGGTTTTTCGAGAGACTCACCTGGAACCCAGCTGAATATCTCGTTTGTGATGTTTTCAGGCAACTGAATATCTCGTTTGTGATGTTTTCAGGTAACTGAATGTACTGCCCCAGGCCGTCTCATGTTTCATTCGCTACGATAGTCGAGATATCGCGATACATGTAAATCTTTGTAACGTACTACTCATAAGGTTGTCGGCGGATTTTCAGCAACCTTGTGAGTAGTACATTACAAAGATACAGACACGTGCTTGTTTGGGCTGGACGTACACCTCGTAAGATATGACAGATACGGCACCGCACTGCAGTACAGTCCCAAACCGTCAGTTTGCACCTGGCACTTACATGTTGCTGGAAACTGCTCTGTATCAACGATTGCAGACTGGATTATTAGGTGACGCAGGTGACTGTGATTCGAACGAATTTGCGTGATGATTCGAAAAACCGTGTTGTCCAAACAGTAGTCCGGGAAATCCCGACACGGTCGACGCATACCGAGTTACCTGGATAGTCTATAAAATGAGTCATTGATTTGGTAGTCAACTCAGTTTTTCACAGCCAACGTGTCCCAATATGCCTCAGATGTTCAAATCGCACCCAGATTAAAGTGTATCCTTCGGGATCCCAAGAAATCTTTGACAACCTTGGGTTCGTAAGTCGTATCACTTAGTGGGCAGCCACTTACCACAGGCTTCAACGACGCAACGCCGGTCAAACTGCTCTTGCGGGGTTGCTCTAAATTTTCGCAGAACACTCCATTAGCACGTCTATCGATATGTCGTATTTCTCAGGGTTTTAGTCGTCCCGAATCGTACAGCTGTAGCACTCTTTCGGTGCTTAACTGCCATGCCACCCGAAGGAAGAAGGAGGGCTGGGGAACTGCCAGGTTGCCCAAGCCTAGGCAGAGGTCGGGTTCGAACCGCGAACCTTGCGGTCAGTAAATTCGCGCTCTAACCACTTGGACCATCTCGTCCCGAATGCACTGACCCTCATCAAATTTGCAAGCACATGTACGACAGCTCAGTGATTGAGACTGGAAGGTTATCGGTACAAACCCATCCCCTGGCATCTAGACTACTCCTGTCCAGGCATGGGTAAACGAGTAATATCCCAGTCCCCAAGTGTCCTGATGGTGACATGGCAGCTAGGCACTGAAAAGGCATTCCAGCTTCAAGCTATTTACTGAATAAAAACAGAAACTTTGCAGTGTTATTCCAGTCAGAATTTGTTCCTGATTTCTCTGCAGCCTCAGCCAGCCTGATTAACTCAAATAAAATGGCCAGTTGGCCCTTCGGTTATTCCTTAGCGTGGTAATAACTTCAAGTAATGATACGCTCTTTTAAATAAACTGGTTCTGAAGACGTCTAAGAATTAAATCCTAAAAATGGAATTCGATGGTCTTAGATGAAAGTGATACGACAATACCTCCGAACTAGGATCACCCATATGTTATGGCCCAAATGTTTCGGACTGGATGTGGCCTGCCGGGGGGACTTGATTCAACCGTATGCACAATTCAATCTGCGAAAGTTTCGAGTGAATTTATCAAAGTAATGACATCCGCAACACGGGACACACACGTTTTCAAAGACCATCCTTGGCGTACTTTATTCACCCCCAATTCACGGCGTCGAAAGCTGTTGCATAATGCGATAACAGAAATTCTAATCTTTCGAAATAGTTAATATATGAGACTGTACACAGTACTGTAAAAAGAAGTGACGGTATGCAGACATTATCTGTTTCAAACTTTGGAGGTTTGTTTGCTAATTTCTTCTTTGAGATTCAGAATGACTTCAAAGTAGATGCCGAATTCAGAGATGCTACTCGCTCAATGAAATTGCAGACGGTCCCTGCAACCATACTTCATCAACAAAGTCCCTCCTAGCTAGGATCACCCCTGTGGATACTTTTTCGACAGGATAAAAATGCACATTCGTAACGCTTGAAAAAGAGAACTCTTAAGCAGAGATGACATTCGGTGCAATTAAGCGTGATGAAAGTAATGCACTATTCACAAGGTTGCTGACAACTCCTCGACAGCCCACGACCGGTTTCGCCCTTCTTGGGGCTCATCAGGTAGACGCAGTCCCAGAAGAAATTGATGAAATGTATGCCAATTTGGTTTTGACGAGACACTCGGAACCCGACTGGATCTCTCGTTTATGATAAATGAAGCCACTTGTAACATCACAAAAGAAAGATTCATCTGGGTTCCAGGTGAGCCTCCCTTCAAAATCAAACTGGCATACAAATGAGTATGTTTCACTTAACATGATAAAGTTATTCCTTTTACGATTGCTGTTTTAAAGGGCCCACAGACGATGCATCTTCGACATCTTATCTCTTTTATAAAAACTTTCCTGGGTGATGGTCTTTGCAGAGAATGCTGTTTGTAACATTTCAGTCCTTGTTGGGAGGGAATGGCATGCAACTCCCGTGTTAGAGGTGAACCTAAATGCGAGTTGGCGTCTCAGATGGTGTCAATTTTGAAACAGGATATTGCCAAACCTTGATGTGTGATCAGATGGTCGCTGATCTGGACGAAAAGATCACTAATCGACACCCCCCACTAACCATATCTCGACACATGGACCTACCAAACCTAACTTGGATAAACGCTCCCTTTCTTGAGAGGGGGGGGGGGAACTTATTGGAAAGTTTGGTGTGAAAAGCGGTGCAGAAATGAAGACTGAATACCAAGTGGGTGAGAGTGAGTGAAATTCCATGAACTTGGAAAAAATCTGGTACAATCACCAAAATATCACGATAAAAGGGGTCATTGAGAATGTAGCCAGGGACCTCTGGCTTCTCAAACAAGTTCCATACGATTTACGACAAAAGAACGGATCCTTCTGACTGTGCTGGTCAACAGATCTATCCGAAGTTTTGAAGACTTCACAGCATGTCATCTGGCGTATGTTAGTTGCAGCTTGCTATTGATCGTGCTGGGTAGTTTGCTTGCAAACGTTTCGTCATCAACATCGACAGCACACCGACCTACAAACAGAACTCGACGCGACTGGTCGCCATCAGTAGGCTGCAAGTAGTATTACACGTCTCTCACATTAATAACAGTTGTCAATTTGGGTTGTGATCCTGACTCTCACCGGATCAAACTGACACAATGATGGCTCAAACGAATCAAAGTCTGTGACCCCAAATAAAACTGAATTGCCAACCGGTTTAAAAGTGGCTATCATCGGCACACTCGTTAGAATTATGACGAAATGATGTGGAGACCAAAGGTCTTCAAAAAGTCACGAAAATCTCCACCAAATGGAGAGTTCTGTGGGGTAGAGCTTGGTCACGGTGTGTGTGTGTGTGATGTGACCGCCAGAGACTGACGTGGCGCTGTGTTGTTAATCCGTGGCTTCCGGAGAAAACGCAGAGCTGTTTGGTTGTTGGTCTGTTCGCCGAGCTTGGCGGTTGGATCGCAAACGTTTCATCACCAACCGAGGTGACATCGTCAGTGCAGGGTTGAGTGCACCCGAACTATTTACATTCCACAACATTGCTAAAACGCAGAACATTACTTATGTGAGTGGGCACTGAGGAGTTCTTCACCACTGGCGAGAAGTGGTAGGTCTCCCCCCGTAGACATTCGCTAGCTGCATACCGCTGATCACTTCTAACAGGGATGAAACGTGTGTTGGATTCCCCCAAAGCATCAGAACAGCACAACTATTGAATGATCGAGAAACCGTTGAACGAATGAGCAACCACAAATCAAAGTAAACGAGTGAACAAAAAACACTTAACTGCAAACAAATCCAATTTTAACGAAAGTCTCAAATAAATCTGAGTTCGATATCTCATGTATGACAGTCTTGAAATAAATGTGCTGCACAAAATATCTTCGTCATCGACGGTATGACATCTTTGCCCAACAGTGATGCTTCACTGCCATAAAACCATGATTTATTTGAAAGCTTCGTTTTAAGGAAGCACCCTAAAGGTAACTACTCACATCACAAGGTTAAACACTTCGGCAGCTCGGTTTCGCCCTTGCTGCGGATTATCAGTTGGGTACAGTCCTCAAGTCAAACTTCAGTCAACCTTACATTGTACAAAATTTGAAAGATGAACTCTGCTGCGCACCAGTTTGGTTTACACGGAAAGTTGAACTAAACCGGAGAATGTCCAGTAAAGGTGGACGGAAACTCGAGAACTGCGCCTACCTGATGAGCCCCAAGAAGGGCGAAACCGGTCGGGGGCTGTCAAAGAGTTTTCAGCAACCTTGTGAATAGTTTCCCCTATGAAAATACACTACGATATCTCGAACATCGTAGCTGAAACACGAGGCGGCCTGTGTTCAGCGCATTCAGTTGTAGAACATCATAAAGGAGAGGTTCAGTCGATTCTCTCGTGAAAACCAAATTGATTTGCAAATTAGTGTAGTTCTTGAAAACAGTCCAATTTGGGTCTGCGTGAAACTAATGTGCTTCAACGGGGGCGAAATCAATTGTTGGCTGCTGGAGGGTTCTCAACAACCTCGTGAGTAGTTTCCTTCATGATTGCAATGAACGCGTAAATGAGGGAGACAAGGAGGGTAGAAAATAAGAAACAATGAAGCTTCATTGATTGATTGGCTCACCAGACAAGTAGAATAAAATAAAACGTTCAGAGGTAGCACCCTTGCGGTGCCTAGATGCCATGTCACACGGAGAAAGCACCAGGGCTGGGATACTGCCAGGGTGCCCTAGCCTAGACAGGGGAAGTCGACAGGCAGAGGTCGGGTTCGAACCACGAACCTTCCGGTCAGTAAATTTACGCTCCAACCGCTGAGTCGTCTCGCTCCCAGAAAACGTATCAGCTGACCGTTATTGATCGACGCTGATTTTTCAAAATCTCATGGGTCCACTCTTTGTCTTCCGCCAGGCGGTTACCTCACCGCTGAGGACGAACAGTTGTGTGGTTCTATACACGAATGATAAGAAATGCGTGCTTGGTACCGAGGCTGGAAAACCTTCGAACAAACTGCGATTCACACGCATCTACTGACTGACCTTTTTGGAGGAAATCGTAGTGGACTTGCAGTCCTACGAATCTACTTCGGCGTGCTACGTCGTGTGCTAGAAGCCATGGAAGTCCAATCCAGCTTTCTGACCGATTATTTCAATCAACTCTGGTTGTACCGAACCAAACGACAATTTCGTGTCGCTCTCAAATTCTTCATCACTTCCTGCGTGTTTTTGGTCCTCGAACCGGGATTGCTATGTCCGATCGATAAACAAGCTACAAACTACTATCTTTACCTGTTATTTGGGTTCTATATTTTTATCTATTTGGCCACCTTTCGGACGTGGACTCACACAATCTACACGTATATGGGGTTAGCCACAGGTATAATCAATCTGAGCATACACTTTGTGCTGCGATGCTACAGTGCGTCCGGGAACCATGTGCCCGTTTCCCTTCTGTTTACAGGAATATTGGCACTTTTTGTTGTGCTTCCAATCTGTCTGGAACTCGTATTATCTCTCACGTTATTGTACTTTGTCGTCCTTGGACAGTTAAATCAAATGTACGAGCGATCGTTGAGGTCGCGAAACATCTCGTCCATAGATGGTCCACTAAGGGTGGAGAATTTGCCCACATGGTTCACGTTCGATCTGAGTCGTGTGATACACATGTATCATCTTGGTGCGAATCGTTCGAACAAGGTAGTTTACATGCGATGTTTTTTGTGGGTATTGGTTATATTCATCGGTTTGTATGCACGATTTTGGAACACGTTACGAAAACGATTTGCCTTTTTGAAACTCGGCACGAGCGTCCAAGCAAGGTGTCAAACGAACCGGGCGCATGAGGGGAGTTCCCACTGGATAGAGACCATTATGCCGAAACACGTGAGTGCGGAATACCAACGATTGCGCCGACTCCACGAACATCACGACGTGTCCGAGTGGTTCTACATGCAAACATTCGATTGCATCTCGATCATGTTTGCCGATATTGTTGGGTTTACCAATATGAGTTCGAAGTTGACCGCACTTCAAATTGTCGTCATACTGGGCGACTTGATCAAACAATTTGACGAGGTGTGTGAATCCACACGTTGTGAGAAGTTGGGCACGTTGGGCGATTGCTATTATTGTATGGCTGGTGGACAAGACCCGAATCAACCGCATGCCATGTGTTGCATCGAGATGGGTTTGGCTTTGTGTGAAATTTTGCGCCGATTCAACGAAGAAAGCCAACAGTCGGTCAACATGCGCGTGGGCATTCATACGGGGATTGGGCATGCGGCCATCTTGGGCTGTGATCGCTTCCGGTACGATGTCTACTCGTACGATGTCCGTATTGCCAATGAGCTGGAGTCAACCGGTCGACCTGGTTTTATCCATATCAGTCAGTCCACTTACGAAGAGGTGAAGGATATGTATGTGGTCGTCCCCGGTCCCGATTTGGTTGTGGACAAACGTGAGCATTCGTTTTTGTTCGAACAGACTGCCGCCAAGGTCAACATACCGACCTACTTTATTCAGGCTCGAGAAAATCGTGTGTCCAGAACCAGCAGTGTGTACGAAAAGTACGCACAGTCAAGGAGACGGACACACCGTCAAGTTGCGAGTGACCAATCGGAACCGAGTGCACTCAACTGGAGTTCCATCAGTTCAAACGAAACCACTGATCATTCAAGTTCCAGTTCGGAATCGGACATTCTGGATCCCGGCGTCGAATGGCTTGAGTTCGAACTATCCCCGGAGGCGTTGGCAGACATCAAACTAAGTCATCAGACCAGCGCGATGCATTTGCGTCGTGATATCGAACTGATCCAGGATTTACGAACCGACCCGGCCAAACAGCATTTGCTGTTCCAAGCACCCCCATTGGACGGGGTACTTTTGCGCTTCCTCAATATGGAAATCGAATGGCACTATCAGATACAAAAACGGTTCCGCATTGGTCCGACTTTCGTGGACTCGGAAAAATTGGCTCAAGTGATGGATGCTTTTGTGTTCTTTCTCATCAATCTAATGATGTCCACCTTCGGCATGTTGGTTGTCCCGAAATTCGGACTGGCCTTCTTCTATGTGATCACATTCGCTCTCTCCTGCTTCCTTCTGTTCACAGCAATTTTCACCGGTACAACCTATCCAGACCGAATCAAATCGAAATGGTTACGCAAATATTATCAGCTGTGTACCAGACAAATTGTCTACGAACTGCTCACAGGTCTGTTCACGTGCTTGCCCACTTTGATCATTCTGATCTATCGTCACACGTTTTTCACGTTGGAGCGACCGGAAATTCGAATGTGGTGTTTCAGTTCGTTCAATCTCGTCGCTTTGATTGTTCACTGTATTCCGTCTTCATCGGCCTCCTGGGCAAGATGTACGTGCTGTGTGTTCAGCTACTTTGTCCTGCTCGTGCACCAATTCGTCCACATCACTGGCACGCAAAACCTTCCACTATGTCTGCACAAAATCATACTGTTCAACGGACTACCTCTGGACCGGTGGTCGTACGTGCAACAGTTTGAACAATTTCTCTGTTTTTTCCTAGTGATGCAACTCACACGTGAGACCGAACGGATTTGCAAGCTTTGTTTTTTCGTACACCGTGAGGCTCAAATCGAGAGTGAGGCGGCCGAAAAGGCAATGTCTGAGGCTAACGAGCTCCTGTTCAACATTGTTCCAGCCTATGTGTTTGAGGAACTTCGCGAAGGCGGTAAAGATGATCTATTCAACCCACAGGTCACACTACACTATGCGGTCGCTCATCCAATGGTCGGTGTCGCTTTCGTGTCCGTCGCCAATTTTTTCTCACAAATCTATCGCGAGGATTTGGGAGGCGCAGAACGCTCGCTACATTTGTTACACACAATTATTTGCACGTTTGACAAACTACTGAGACATCCGGATGCAAAACACGTGGAAAAGATCAAATCAATGAACGAAAACTACATGGTTGCGTCGGGGTTGAACCGCAAAGAAATAGAGCAGAATGCGGACAAAATGCGTCATTTGTGCACTCTGATGACCTACTGTTTCATGCTTCGTAAGGCGCTGTTCGAAATCCGTGTTTATGACCGGAAGGAGATGGGATTTCTGCGAGCCAAGATCGGTTACAATATTGGACCGGTGACGGCGGGTATTATCGGAACCACCAAGCTGCACTACGATATTTGGGGAGACACGGTCAATGTGGCAAGTCGAATGTGTTACACCGGAGTCCCCGGGCCGATTCAAGTATCAGAAGATGTGAAAAACATGTTGAAAGATCGATTTCATTTTGTCTATCGAGGGGAGTTTTTCGTCAAAGGCAAAGGTATGATGAGAACGTATATATGTGAGGAAGGAGAAACCTAGTTCGAGCGTGATAAAGTTCCCGACGTTGTTGTCCTTCTGTACAGTTTGAAGAATAAATTTACTTTGTATGGGAACGCGTTCTTTCTGTAGGACGGCGGTCTTCGGACCCTTGGGAAGTATATTCGTATATTCTGGTTTGAACAGTGATTCGGGTCCGACGGGATGATTGTGAAACTACCGAAATTCGGTTTGTCCAAGTTCATCAACACTGCATATCTTTGATCGTGACGGGATTCGAACCCGGAACGTCTGGAGAACGACGTGCACACCACGATTTCAAAAACGAACCCGATTTGCTAAAGGCCTAGAACGACACGGGAATTTGTCGATCAGCTGACCCACTTGCCGAAACTTTTAACGAACCCGATTGCTGAAGGCCTAGAACGACACGGGAATTTGTCGATCAGCTGACCCACTTGCCGAAACTTTTGTGACTCGCAGACTGAAATCGAAAGATCCACTTGCCTAATGTGTGGCCCGGCAAAAAATGAGTGACAATTACGGAAGCCCATGGGCTGCAATGCCCTTTGAAAGATAGAGCTGCCTAGCTGCATTTCACTGAAGAGATGAGAATATTTTGGTACCTGCACATAACGTTCATGCTATCAGGCGATGTAAATTAATGCTTAAATTCATGGGCACGATCGTAGTAAGCATGTTTGAATCTCATCCTTCTAAAGTGCACTTTTCTGTCGGTTTACTTTGCGCCATTTAGAAACAGACAGTGATAAAAACGGGAGGTTGCACTCAGGTTGGTACCCTCAAAAACACATCATACAGAATACATGGAAAACCGTTTGAAGTAGGTACAAAGTTGCTCTCCGCGTGATGGTCCAAGTGGTTAGAGCGCGAATTTACTGACCGCGAGGTCCGTGGTTCGAACCCGACCTCTGCCTCTCGACTTTCCCTGTCTAGGCCTGGGCAACCTGCCAGCACCCCAGCCCTCGTGCTCCCTTCGGGTGGCATGGCAGCTAGGCACCGAAAGGGTGCTACAACTGAACGGTTTTTTCTGTCACTTCGCGCTGGGGTGATGTTGAATGAGGGCAACTACTGACCCGCTACAAGAGATGTAAAAACGATCTCGAAGTTACGTGAAACGTCACGTGATCACTCGGATGAACAGTTAGGGATTCACCTCCGATTTCCGAAGCATTTGACCGTCCGAGCAGATAAGTCTGTTTTGGTTCTATTCAAGCACAAAATAGCGTTGGTGCAAACATGGGGGCTAGGCTTGGAAGGGGCAAAAACGGAAACAAACTCGCCGAAATCCCTTGGCTGTTTCAGCTCTGGGATCAGGTGATTGGGTGAACCAATTTTGTTGGCCACTTTTGGATTGCCCGAGACAGAATGAGCTCACAAATAGCAGTCAGACCGTGCTTTGAGAAGAGCAGCTTAAGTTCTGCACGCAGTTCACGTTTGATACGCTAAGGAGGCCCCAGTGGAAGGACAGATTGAAAGCAGCATTGGACGAAAAAGCAAACACCGGTTAGTCAAGTGCACAACTCAATTGAGGGACAAATCTATTCCGGTTTAAAACAGATCCAGGAGTCCGTGTAGGAAACCACAAGCCCCACCACACCTGACATTCATGGGAAGGAAAATAAACCGGACTGTAGGGTGAGATCCCGACACCATCACATCGTCCACCCCCCAAGAACGACATTACAAGATGCAGTAGAGAATTTCACCCTAGACAGCTCAAATGAAGTGGCATGAATCTGGCCACAGCACTCCTTTAGTAAACGGAGCTATGAAGATGGATCGTGAATAGTGAGCCGCTTTCAGTCTCAGAAGTGTCTGAATGTAATTCTCTATTCAAGGGTCATCGTGTTGCCGGTACTGACGACCTTCCACCTGCTTTTGTCAAGAATGGTCCATGGGCAGTGTTGGTAGATGTCCCGAAGCTCAAGAACTTCCAGGTATTACGACAATAAGATGCGCGCCCTTGATAAGACATTCTGTACGAACTGTTGGTGGCAGGCTCCACCCCCCCTCTCCCGGTACCAACCAGTCTCGCCAAATTACCTTGGAACTCCACGTAGAATTGTGCCTAGGTTATCAAAACTTGTAGATACGATAACAAACACACAGCCACTGTGCGCTAGATGAATGAAGGAAGGATAGGTGTTCCACAGCGGTTGTGCCCTGACATATACTATCAGTAGTTGTATTAGCTCTGACGGAAGTGTGTCTGATGAAGTCAGTGCAAGAATCTCAAAGGTTCAAACCATGTTTGCTAAGTTGCGTCACTTGTGGCGTCAAAAAGGCATCTCACTGGATCTTAAGGGTTGTGTGTAGCGGGCTACAGTAATGGCTGTGTTGTTGTATGAGTGCGAGACATGGCCTCTGCGGAGAGATGATGTGAGGCGTCTTCAGGTTTTCGAAGACCGATGCCTCAGAAGCGTGGCTGGTTGTGGATGGCGTCAGCGCGTCAGTAACGAGGCGATTAGAAAACGGGTATTTGGTTGTGCTGCAGGCACCTCAATCCGGGAAAACATCCAGCATCATCGACTACGATGGCTCGGTCATGTGCTACCTATGCCGAAATATCATCTACCGAAACGAGTCTTGTTTTCCGTGCCTCCTTCAGGATGGCGCAAACCTCGAGGTGGACAGCACATGACTTGGCAGAAGGGTGTGCAAGAGACCACGAAGGGTTTGGGTGTTGTCCGCCTTCCAGGATGGGGTCCCCGTGATCCCGCCTCTGGTTGGCTGTAGACATTGCAAGAAATGAAGACCAATCGATATCGGTGGTGTTCGTGCGGTCAGTTTCTTTCCAGATTGTCTGATTGAACGGTTGGAGGTGTAGGCACATCAGAATTCTTGACATAGGTTAGCATTAGGTCCCCTCCCCCACCAACTCTTATTCTCTCCTGTTCACTATAAGGCTTTCAATATAATAACGAGACGTGTCTTGTGGTTGTACGGCAGTGAAGAATCAGTGCCAACACTGATGTTGCTGTCTTTGATGATGGCGATGCTATCGACATCCCTACTTGCACCTGTCTAGACAGCGCCATTAAACTTACCTGGAGCGAAGCTGGTCGACAAACCTCGCGCTTTCTCGAACTTTCACTGGACCATTTGCGATTTGTGTTGCATTGAAATGCACACCTTCTGTTCCTGGTAGTCTTCCATCAATAGTCAGGGTACGTTTTGAAACGGACCTCCTGGCCTCATCAGTATCACGGACAAAAACACCAGAGAAGAACACTGATGTTTCACTGCTGTAAAGCCGCTTGAATGGAAAAGAAAGTGGGACGGAGAGGGAACACAAGACTAGCTTACCAAAAACACGCGATATAATTACACATCCAGCGCTCAGTCACTCAGGGTAGAAATTCACTACCGACTACCAGTAGTTCAATTAGTAAATCGCAGTTTGTTTTCGCTAGATGCTGAACTATTCAAGAAGGACGGAGTGGTCTTATCCCCGTCTCGACGAGTTTACCGCTAACACTCAGGTCATCACCATCATCATCATCATCGACAGCATGACATCAGTCAGTGACACCGATGCTTCAATGCCGTAAAATAATCGTTCAGCTGTAGCACCCTTTCGATAACTGGCTGCCATGCCACACGTAGGAGAAACGGGAGATGGGATACTGCCAGGTCGCCCAAGCCTAGACAGGGGCTGTCGAGAGGCAGAGGTCGGGTTCGAACCACGGACCTTCCGATCAGTAAATTGGCGCTCTAACCACTAGGTCCATCTCAACCGATCAGCCTAATTAGGTGGTCGGTTAGATGCTAAATCGTACGCCATTATGCTGATTGCTTAGAGTCGGCGACTGATCCGGCAGATTTCCCCATCAAATCCACTTGAGAAGTATTCATACATGGATACCAAGGCCAGTTTATCTGACAAAAAGAACGAAAACCTCAGGTAAGTTTTCCACTCATCTTGTCGGTTTTCTCAAACAAATGAGAATATCTGAAATGGGGTAGTTTCTAATGCGCGGGCATGGACATTCAAGATGATGTGAGATGCGAACTGCTGATGATCCCGTGTAAGGATGAAACAGATGTACAGTGTTTCTCGGCTTTTCAGCATAGACCGACTGAATGTACTGTATGAAATCTTCACCGTAATTCCTAAATCACCTCACACTACTAACAATCTGTAAGTAGCTCAAAGAACAAAAAACTTCCATATGGGAAGTTGTTGCTCGAGGAGTCGGCCAACACGTGTGACCGCGTGATGTGGATACCGCGACTGAAAAATGAGCGGCGCTGTATCCTATCCAGGTGCGAGTTAATCACACTACTGATCAGCCGGTCATGGCCGAACGGTTAAGTGTTCAAACTACTAGCCAGGAGGTCGCCGGTTCGAGACTCTGAGTTTCGTGAGATGCGGACTGCTGATGATTCCGCATGAGGATGAAACAGCTGTACAGTGCTTCCCGGCTTTTCAAAATGGATTGGATTCACTTACAGGATGATTTGAGCATCTAAGCATAACTGGTAAGAGATCCCGAACGTGGATTCGCACACAGGACGTGTTTTATCTGCGGTCTACTTGCTATACGTGTTCCGTGAACTGGTGGAGTTTGTTGGTCATCCTGTCCTGTGTGTGCCGCATCGGGTAACATGCGCAATGTGAAAGCACTAGGGGCGACTTTAGTTTGAAAGTTGAATGCATAAAAAAACACCTTGATCTGATGTGAGACAAAGTCACGAACATGATAACAACCACATCACTCAAGCCTGAACACCCTCACTTGTTCAGATGTGTCCAGCGTGCGCTGTCATGGTAACACACTCTCCTCGCATGTCAGATGTCCGGAGTTCTACCCCCCGACAAAAGATATGCACTGCTGATCATCTAATGACAGCGAAACTCGAGTCCAGTGCTCCCCTCTTTGGTTTGGACTCGCAAGAATGCGATAGGAGGACAAGCATTTAAGTGAGAGTGAATGTGTAATGCACACATTGAAAATTCCGAAACTACTTACAACAAGAGAGCATCTTCTTTTAATACACTACTCACAAGGTTGCTGAAAATTCATCGACAGCCCACGACCGGTTTTGCCCTTCTTGGGGCTNTTTTTCGAGAGACTCCCCTGGAACCTAGCTGAACCTCTCACTTGTGATGTTTCCAGGCAACTGAATGTGCTGCACCAGGCTGCCTCATGTTTTAGTCACTACGACATTCGAGATATCGCGATACATGTATGTCTTTGTAATGTACCACTCATAAGGTTGCTGAAATTCCGTCGACAGACCACGACCGGTTTCGCCCTACTTGAGGTTCATCAGGTAGGCATAGAGAGTATCTTCTCCTCACCAAAGTGGGGAAACACGGCACTCTGTGCTGTACCTGTACGTTGTTCGACCGGTTGACCGAAAAATTCACTCACATTTTCATCAGACTAGTGCTCTCTGCATGACCCTTAGACACTTGAATTAACTTGATTCGAGTAGAACATGAGGTTGACGGAAACTCTGGAACTGCGCCTACCTGATGAGCCTCAAGAAGGGCGAATCCGGCTGTGGGCTGTCGAAGAGTTTTCAGCTACCTTGTGAGTAGTTTCCTTTATGAAAAGATACTGCAATATCTCGAATATCGTGCCAACTGAAACGTGAAACGGCCTGTGTGCAGCACTTTCCGTTGTAGACTATCGTAAACGAGAATTTCAATTTAGTCTCTCTCAAAAACCAGATTGATTTACGAAAAAGTGTATTTTTCGATAACCTGGTTCATTTTCAAAATTATAGTTTGGAGGCGAAATTCCAGGGAGCAATACTATTTGAATTGAATAGCCCACTTATTCCTGCGATCAGCTTGCACCCGACTTCTGGGCTGCAGGTTACATGGGAATGATGGACACAAACAAGGCCAAAATTGCCGAGGCTTACAACGTGGATACACCGCTTGGACTATACCACTGAGCGCCAACTTTGGATCACTTCCTGTTCATCTCTGTACACCATAGTGAACGTAAAAGTATGACGCGACTGATCCAAAGGGTAGGTGAACCGCGTCCCAACGACTCTGCGATGCCCTAACGCAACATCCTTCTCGGAGGTCTTGTGCAACATCCACACAGAGAGAGAGGCAGGGGGAACTGCCACTATCCCACTGACCACGTTCCTCATCTGGCTTTCCATCACCGGGAGTTGCCTGAGTTTTGGAAGCGCGACTGAAAGTGAACCACCTCGAAAAACATCGGTTAGGGCTTTCAAGACCTATGTGTATTCATTCTATTACATCAAAGTCGAACAGCGCTGCTTTCAGTACAAAAATAGAACAATATTCGCGTGCGATTTATCCCTTACGGTTATGTCACTCGAAGCTGAGCATACGAGAATATGCTTAGCGCGACTACCCATCCGCTGACAAGCTTAGATTTGACAGAACCGTTCGACGATGGTTGGCCAATCCGTCTGTGGTTCTCTGAATCATCATGCTGAATTCAAGCGCGTCTCATGAAGTTGTTGTGTAGGGCAGAATGCACACCGTTTCCGTGTTGTGCATGACTATCAACGCGTCCATACACACGAATCTCATGAGATGTTGGTTTTTACCAGTCATATACGGGCTGCGCTATACACATTGATCGTTCTTCGTTGCCTGGGCAAAGTTGGTTGCGCCTCTCAGAGGTGATTTTGGCACCAAAACAGAGATTAATGACTTGGGTCGCATAAACAGGGGTTTTTTGCGGGACGAACTGCAGCTGGACAACTTACTTGGTTTCTGTTTCTCTTCAGCTCTTCATTGACCCCCTGTACTTAAGGCCGCTACACTACAGCATTCAACAGCTTCCACGTTGAAAAATCTGGCAAATATTGGGAAAGATCTGAATACCGTTCGGGACACCCTAGCTATGGATGTACGGATGCGGAACCCGAGTTTACAGAGTTCGGCCAAGGTAAAACAAATTCACTAAGTTGCTGGATAGACTGAAGGTCAACCAACCCACAAAAAATACTTATGATACGTTTGTCTGATTACTGCCGCCGAGCACAGCATCTTGCGCAGATTGGGCACAGATGCTCTTGAGAACTTTGAGATGGAACTCCGAACTCCTTACCCAAAATAGTTCGTGATTCCAATCCGCCTCCAATTTTCCAGTGTTCCCATTACGGCTTGGAACATCTGGTAGTTTTTAGGGCAGGGATTCGGTAAAGTCCTATCCCAGTTTATAAGTGAGTGTATAACACATTGTTAAATCTGACAAGTCGTTAACTACCATTCCTTGAGAGGAAAGTACAAATTTCGAATGGCTTGGCCGAGAGAACAGATAACCTCTTCATAACACAAGATGAAGCAGATGGAGTCAGTACTGAAGCACAATCTATTCCTTGCAATGTCTACAACCAGGCGTGGCAAGGGGGGATCGCCATCCTGGAAGGTGAATCGCACCAAAAACATATAAACTGTTCGTAATCCCAGACCCGTAAGTTGTTCACCCCGCAGTTTACGCCGCCCTGATGGAGACGTGGGGGACAATACTCGTCTCGGTAGATGATGCTTCTGCAAACGTAGCATATGGCCGAGTCATTTTGATTTACGTTGCTCGATGCTTTCCGGAATACTTGCTGCACAGCCAACTACCCGTTTTCTGATCAATTCGTCACAAATTCGTTGACATTATACGATAAGGACAACGCTTGCGAGACATCAGTGATCAAAAGCCAGAAGGAGTTCCAGGTCAACTCTTCGCAGATGGCATCTTGCTACCATTCAACAATGCAGCCCTTACAAGAGCCCGGTACAAAGAAAACTCTTTAGATCCACTTTTGATGTTAAAATTGATTCAAATTGACAGACATCATTCGTGTACTGACTTCGTCAGACGCACAACCGTCAGACGTAACGCAATTATT